TCTATGCTTTAGACACTGGATTACATCTATCACTTCATTCGATCATCACCAAGTCTGTAAATAGGGGTTATTAACCCATTTCAGAGATCAAGAATGAAAGATTAAATAATTTGCTCAGGGTCACACAGCTAATAAATGACGAGCTAGGATTGAAGCCCAGGTCTTTTTGACTCCATACGTACATATTAAACTTTGCTGGAATCATTTTTACATGCTCTGTTTTACAGACAATCTGGAATATTTGTAAAAGACCAAAATACGTTTTCTGTATCAGAAGATTGGCTCAGATACTGTGTCTGTTAGCTTTCCTTCAATGCCCATTTACTCTCCCCTTTTTTTTTTAAAGAGGATTTCTGTTTTGTTATTGAACGTATAGCTGCTACAGGGAAAGAAATGAAAATATTGATTCAGATTTTCTTGGGGAGTGAAGGCAGAGGACATTCAGAGTACGGTATCTGCTCTGTTCCCTGGGCTGACAAGCTAAAACTGTGGATGAGAAAAAAGGAACTGTCTAGAAATAGGCTTTGAGGCTTGATTTTGGACGTTTTGTTAAAAGCGACAACAACAAAACTGCTGAAAAGAAAGTCGTCACCAGCATGGATAATACCTATAATTCCCAAACAGAAATAATTTCTATAGCTATTTTAAAACTTTGTCCCAGCTGAAATGTAAATGTCACAGGAAGGAGTAGAGGTTGTTTTGTAGGATCCCTCACAGCAAGGGTATAGTTTTCCCTCATGTCTTTTTTTTTTTTTTTTTTTTTTTTTTTGTGAGATGGAGTGTTGCTCTGTCACCAGGCTGGAGTGCAGTGGCACAATCTCAGCTCATTGCAACCTCCGCCTCCTGGGTTCAAGCGATTCTCTTGTCTCAGCCTCCCCAGTAGCTGAGATTACAGGCGCACACCATCATGCCTGACTAATTTTTATATTTTTAGTAGAGATGGGGTTTCATCATGTTGGCCAGGCTGGTCTCGAACTCCTGACCTCAAATGATCTGCCCACCTCAACCTCCCAAAGTGATGGGATTACAGGCATGAGCCACCGCGCCCAGCCAGTTTCCCTCATATCTTTATCCCCCAGCCTCCTATACTCCCTGGCACATAATGAGTGCTTAGTCAACATGACTGAGTGAATTAATGAATGCTTGAATGAATGAACAGGTAGCCGAGAATAAATATATACCGTTATGAAAGCAAATTTTCATAGAAAAAGAGTATAAGGCCTAGGAACCCCCCACCCCCCCAGAAGACAAGAAAAACAAACTCACTCCATGCTTTTGCCCAGAGCAGGCTTACAGCTGGCTTCGCTTCAGTTTATCCTAGATTTCTCTTAGGACATTGAGGACAGAAAAGATGTTTGTAATCTAAAATGTCAGGGAACAAAGCCAGAGAGTGCAACATGCAGAAGAAAACATATTCAATTAGTTTCTGAATACTATCCTGTTTTTCTCTTCAAACAGAAAGAAAAACTCTCTCTCTCTTTCTTCTCTCTCTCTCTCTCTCTGCCCTTCCCCCCCACACTCCCCTTCTCCCTCTCTGTCTTTCCAGTCAAAGAGACTGTAGCTGATGGCATGCCTTAAGTGTCTGCATGTGCCGATCTGATCCGCCCAAGCTAAGTGGCCAAATAGGATACTCCAGGCAATACCCCTGAGCCCCGCTGCAGCTCCGTGAGAAAGACGATGCAGGAATACCTGGGCCTGCGTCGTGTGCCGCCACTAGGGGTCCCCAGCAGCAGGCGATGTGAACTGGGAATTGGGTAGCAGAGGCGGCCTCCCTTTGTCTGCACTCCAGGTGTGGACTCCTCTTTGTTCAGAGGCAGGGCCGCTACCTGCGGCGTCTGAGCTGCCTGCTCACTAAGCCATGCTGGGCTGTCTGTGCACCTCCTAAGGCAACAGCGGGTTTCTCAGCTCCTGCCCCTAGTGACACCTGCCTCAGAAGAGCCAATGCGTTCTCTTTCTCAGGACTAGGTGTCTTTGTATTTGAAATAAGGCTTAAACTACAGAGCGAAATATTTCTCACTACAGCAAAAGAGCATATTGATGTTGAGAAATTGATGGCAAAAGGACCACTTTCAGGGTATGGTTGAGTATTTGCCATAAAATATTTAAAGCTAGTTGACGAATAGCCCCGCTATTCTCCTGTGCATGCCGACCACTAGATTAATCTTGAAAGTAAGGAATACGGTATTTCATTCCGTGTTTAGCACAGGGAAAGGGAATGACCTTCACTAAGCAACACCCCAGAGTGCCTGCAGTGAGGGAGCACAGCTCCTGCTACGACAGCCACACTCACCCTGCAGTGCTTTCTTGTCTGCTTTTAAACTTCAAAAGAATGGTGAAACAAAATAAACAAATTACACCACCGTAAGAGCTACCCTGCAAACAATAAATCATGTGAGTTGTAACAGCCGGTGATGGAGGTGGGGATTGCAAATATTTACTCCATCAAAATTTTATTCTTATGTTTCACCGTTTCAGTTTTTTTGTTCACAGCAAAGGTAGTATCCTTAAATGACCATCAAGTTCTTTTTTTGCTGCCGATGTGTTACTCAATGTCTTGTAGCTCAGTAGTCACAGCTACTAATGTGGAAAGTACTGGCATACAAGAGAACCATTTACAGATGTCCTTAATTTGCTCATTTATTCAAGAGTAAACTATTGAACAACATCCACTGAGCACCTATTGTATGCAAAGTATGGTAGACAATACAGGGGCTGGGCAAACAAGGATCCTGCTCCCACCATGCTTTTTCTTTTTTTTTTGAGACAGGGCCTCACTCTGTCTCCCGGGCTGGGGTGCAGTGGCATCATCATAGCTCACTGCATCCTTGAACTCCTGGACTCAAGTAATTCTCCCCGCGCAGCCTCCCAAGTAGCTAGGACTATAGGTTTACTACAACGCCTGGCTAATTTATTTTTTATGTTTTTAGAGATGAGGTCTCATGTTGCTCAGGATGGTCTCAAACTCCTGGCCTCAAGGGAAGGGATCCTCCCACCTCAACTTACTGAGTCACTGGGATTATAGGTATAAGCCACCATGCCAAGTCCACTATTAATGGACTAAGGAAATGAAATATATACCAAAAGTACCATTAAAATAAGAGCACGAGATCTGCACATTGAGAAGTACAGTAGATGAGCTAGACAAATCTAACAGAAGAAGAGCTATTTTCTGCCTTGGGAATCAGGGAAGACTTTCCAGAGAAGGTGCATTCTAGTTGAACTCTTTTAGTATGGGAAGCATACTAAAAGGATGGGAAGCAGGAAGGAATGGCAGAATCCAGTGCTGCTAGCCCCAAGGGCATAGGCCACTGTGAAAGAGGGTTGCATTTGTGAAAGGGGGGAACAGAGATTAGATTGGAATGGTAAGTTTAGAAGGCTTTGAATGCCAGATGAAAGCTAAGTTAAAACAAAACGATAATTTCCATTCTTAAGAAGACCACATTATCCACAAGACTCCTTTTATCCCATAAGTCTTTTAATATTTGGAGACAAAAGGTGGAAATGTCTTTAAAAATTCTACTTTCCAAACACCTAAGATTTCTCCTTTCCACTGGCAAATAGGTATTACCTAGAATTAAGGCAATACGTAAATGAATAAAATAGATGATAACTTTTTCATTGTTTCATTTGGAGAAATACTTTAGAAGGTCCACAAACAGGTGCCTAAGCCTACCAAAGAGGGACATTAGCATTTTATTTCCAGCATGTCCTGATAACTTACTGATACTAGACATTTTTGCAAGGAACAGCCAGCCTTTAGGCTCCTGAATCTAAGAAGGATGATAGTGAATTATTATTCATATTGAGTTTTCTCTATTGGTTATGGCTTTATCAATCCAGATGATCAATCAACTTTCAGATTTTAGTTCTGAACCTGGAGCTTTCTGTTTGGTATTCAAAATAATGGGTGTCAAAGTAATAGCTCATCTCCTACCGACAGACTGGACCTCCCCGATCAGCACATCTCTGTTCAGCAAGCATGTTTGTTGGCCTTGTATCCCTCTTCTGGCCCCAGGATCCAGGAAAACATGAGTCTCAGCTTTTTTCTACTTCTGTACAGCACAGGGTGGCCTTCAGGTGGTGCCTTCACAGCAAATACTCCCCTGTCCCTTCGTCTGTCAATTTAGGACAATAAAAATAATCTGCCTCACAGAGTCATGCTTTACTTTCTCCAGTTAAAACTCTATGAAGGCAAATATGAGTATCCAAACTGCAGAAACAGAATCTGTTGTCCTTTTGTGAAATTTCGAGATGAATAATGAAACCTGCTACCCTATTGCACAATTTGGGACAAGAAATATAAGCTATAGGTTGAAGATAAGACATTTCCCCCTAGTAGAACAGGTCACAGTTGATTAGTTATCTCCAGATGCAATGAAGAAAGCAAAAATTGTTCAAACTATACATTCCTTCCTTAAAGTGAGCAACTTACACTCACTTTGGAACACAAACGTCATGCCAGGTACACTGCAGCTTTCCACATATTTAATCTTCACAGCATCCTGTGTTATCAGATTTTTGAGGAAGGTGGAGAAACTGAGGCTCAGTAGGTCTAAGTAATTTGCTCAAGGTTGCAGCTAAGTAACAGAGCCAGAGTTTGAACTCAGTTGTCTTCGAAGCCCAGATGGTAACAATTCGACCAGGCAACATAGCCAAGTCAGATAGTCCACCATCTAAAGACCTGGAGGGATACATAGATTACTAGTCAAACAAGTAAGTGCTGTTTTCTACCAGAAGAACTCTGGGGAAATAGTAAGTTCCTTCTGATCTAATCCACAAGCCAAGTGTGTGATGGGTCACGTGTCCCTGAAGCCTCCAGATTAGGAAATGCATGATTTCGTGCAGTCCACAAAATAAAGAAGGATAGTGGTAGGGGGCTGGGAAAGCGGGGGTGCTTGGGTCTCCTTAGACCAGCCAGCGCTGTTTCAATGTCCATACGGTTGAGGGTCAGGAAGACACAGTCCAACGTGACTGAAGAGTGCTGACACGCCTTTAACAGTTTAGCAAGCTGTATTTTTAAAAAATGGACCTTAATGGGAAGACATACTGGGATAGCATCCTGGAGGGAATTTTTTTTTTTTTTTTTAAGTTCTAATCAACTAGAAAACGTGACGTGGGTGCGTACTGTGATTATTTAACATTCATTATTCACTGTATGTTAGGTGCTTGGTTGATGTGAATCCCCAGGGCCTAGCTGCTGTTCTGTGTCACTCCTGATAATTTTAAAATTGACTATGTTCTTTTAACCATGTTTTAAAAAGTTGAACTACCCCAATGTGAACACTTTCCATTTTTGCTATATAATGAGAGTATTTTCATTCCTTTAATGCTTGCTTTTCCCTTTGATCTAACAATTTCTCTTCAAATTTCACAGTTTTCTATTGCTTTAGGATTGAAAGAACAGATTAGCCCGCTGGGAGCGTGAAACAGATTTTTAAAAAATCTGCATGATATTTCCTCCCAGTGAAATTAATTTAGGTTTAAACACAGGGGGAAGGGGCACACCTTGTCCTCGAGTCTCTTTCTGTCATACACCTGAGCAGTTCCTATCCTGAAAGGGCACAGTCGGACTTGCTGCTAAGTCTTAAGTCTTTTGTGAGAATCTTTTTTGCAAGGCACAGTAGGAGAACCTTTTTCTCTTTAACACCCGGCTTTGTGTGGGCCTGATGACACGTTTGGACGGCTCTATTTCTTTGAAGGCCAACCTCAGAGGCCCATGGACGCGTCGGGCACTGTCCGTGGCTGGGTTACTTAAGTGTAGCTGGGTTGGCTTCCCGGGTGTTTTAGGAAACGCACCTTCTTGCAGGGCAGGGGCCGTCAGCTCCAGAGCAACAAAGGATAATTTGGAGGGGAGTGGAAGGAGCGCTCCACAGTGGCTCTGTCATCCCAGGTTCCCTTCTGCCTAGCACGGTGGCCCTAGTGATCCCGCCTTCGCCCTCTGGATCCCCCACCCCCACTGTCTCGCTGCTCCAGAGCCCAGCGGGGCGCGGCGAGCCCCACCACCTTCCCCCACACCCTCCCTCCCCATCCCCTTCAAACCCTACGAGCAGCGCTGCGCGCCGCAGCCGCGCTCGCCCCGCGCCCCGCGCCGGCCTCCCCAGCACCCCGGGGACCCGGTCCCCCGTCTCGCCTCCCCGTGTCCAGCAGTTCACAGCCTCCCCCTCCAGCCCCACTGGCGGGAGCTGTCAAGCCCGCGGTAGCCGAACCAGCCCCAGTGCGCCCGCGTCTCCTCTCCTTCCTTTGTGTGTGCGCGAGCGGAGTTGGGGCGGAGGGAGAGGGGGAGGTCGCTCTGTCTGTCCGTCTCCCGCCGCCTCTGCCCGGGCTACTCGAAGTGCGGCCGGAGAGGCGGGAGCCCAGGAGAGGGTGCGGGAGCTGGCGGGGCGGCTCGGGGCCGCCGGGACGCCCTGGTCCTAGTCGCGCACAGGGTAGCGCGGCCGGCAGAGGGGCTCGGCGGGAGCCGAGATCCGCCCGTCCCGGCCGCCCCTCGGCCTCCCTCTGCTCCCACCTACCCCCTGACACCCGGAGAAAAGCGTGCAAAGGCGCGGAGCGGGACGGAAACCACAAATAAATAGCGGCGGCGGCAGCGCGTCATCTGGTGGAGCAGGAAGTGCAGGCAGAGTCCGGAGGCTGGTGCTTTCTGCGCGTCCCCAGGACTTTGCCATGGGCTGGGGGCCGCGGAGGCTGCGAGCGGCCGGGCGAGGGCAGCGGCTGCGGCGCCCGCACCGGGGCTGAGCGAGCAGCGACGCGAGGGGCGCGCGGAGATGGCAGCGTCCAGCAACTCCAGCCTGTCCGGCTCTTCGGTGTCCTCCGGTGAGTTTCAGCCCGTCGGGCGCGGCTGCCGCGCCGGGTCTCGCCCCCTGCCCTCGCTCTGCACCCTGGGATGGACAGAGCCTACCTGTGGCCGTCCCGCCCGCTCTCTTGGAGTGGGGGCAGGCGTCTGGGGTGACACTTGTTTGGTTCGCTAGCACCTCGGTGCCCAGAGCACCTCCGCGCCTGACATCTGACAGCGCAGAGGTGGGAGAGCGGTGGTGCCCTTAGTGTGCGGACGCGGGTGTTCTGGGGCTTGGGGTGCAGCGGGCGAAAAGCGAAAGGAGCGGGCAGCCTCGCACTTTCTGGCGCAGCTGGAGCGGGGGCAGGCGGGGCGGAGAAGGTTGGGGTGAAGCTGAGCGCCCCGATCTGTTTGCCGTGCCTCGTCCGCTACCCTGGACACCCAAATCCGGAGCAGAGGGGAGCAAACCCTCGTTCCTCGCAGACTTGATTTTCTTTGTTTGTTTCAGAAATTAGCTCTGTGGAGACACTCGCTTGGGCATGGGTTTGAGACAGCAGCGATGAAGGGATGTGTCTTTCTGATCCTGATTGAAGTGGGTTAGGGGAAGGGAGGTCGAGCCCAGCCTCTGACTCTTGGCATATTTACAAGTTGTGTGTGTGTGTGTGTGTGTGTGTGTGTGTGTGAGAGAGAGAGAGAGAGAGAGAGAGAGAGAGAGAGAGAGAGAGAGAGAGAGACTCCTTAGACATTTTCTAATAATACTGTCTGTAATTTCACCAGCAAGGCATACATTTTTTTTTTTTTTTTCCTTTTAAGTATGGTTGAGCAAAGGGAAGGCTTCTTTCAGCTTTTCTATGGTTGATCCTCGGGTCTAATTGAAGAGAAAAAAATTGCTAATGAATCTGAAGGAGTAGGAATCAATAGAAGCAGACCCACTGGTTTCTGAGTATGACAGGTTTCTAATCAGAATGATGCATTAGGTAGAATTCCTCTACCTCTCTGGTCATTGAAAACTTTAATGACAAACCCAAAAGGACAGCTGATAAGACATTTAGTGTAGTATACGGTATTTAAGGGTCAAGAAGGTCATGAAGTCCTAATGGAAGTGTTCAATATATTAATATTGTATTAAGTCCCATTGGGCTGTTTTTATTATTATTCACAAATTAAACTCAAAGGAATAAACACCTTTTTGGAGGCATTGGAGAGCAAGCAGGGCATAAAGGCAACCACAGCTTTCGATGTGTAACTCACTAAATCATAAATGCAAGGTGAATTTGACTAAGGTGCAATTGTGATGTGGTACAAGGTGATCACTTGAAAGCCATCTGTTATCTTTCTTGGCAGGTTTAGTTCCTGGGAAATGGCACTTCCTTTCTCGATCACTGCCAACTAATCGAAAACACGTCGTTGTTAGGTGTGTGACATAGTTCAAGTTTCTAGTAGTAGCAGCCAATGAGGCAGAAGTCATATCTTATTAAGAGCAGCAACAAGTTGACCGCCGTGGTTTTAATTCTGAGAACTCAGCAAATGCTACAGTTTATTTTTAGTACCCTCAAACCACTGCTGCTGTTTTTCAATTCATTTTGGTTGACTAACATTGAATTGAAAATACAGTGGTGTTGGCTTTCTATTAGCATATGATTATTCCTCTCAGAAAACTGCCCACTAGAAAATGAACTGGTGGGGCAAAAGAAAAGACGAAAGGAGAAAGGACAAGGAGGTGGTGGTGTCACATGATTTACTGGTGGCATGAATTACAGCTGCTGTGGCATCTGATTTTCCAGATCTTGATGTAGCTTAAGAAACCTGATTGAAAATCCTAACAGCCTTTGGAAGAATACATTGGTTTGAAACAACACAGTATGAGATTTAGATGATGTTAATTGCTTTCAGATAGGATAGAGATGCCCATGATGGTTCTTTTTCCTGCTTTATTTACCCGTATTTTTAATCCTAAGGGAAACTGGGAAATTATGTAAAAACTGAAATTCAAAAAGTGGGCATGGATGTATTGTTTGGCATGAATCAACCTAGCCCATAAGTTTATACTGCCTGATCCCCCAATTAATCAGGCACTTTGTCTTGAAAAATACAGCATTGTAGTTCTCTTTTTAAGCACACTTACCATTGTGTGGATCATGAATAATTCAGATGACACAAGCAATTCACACCTGTGAGAGGTGTTGGGCAGAAAGAATAGAGCCTATTTGTGGTGGCAGCTGGGCTCTCTCAGGCGAAGGCCAGAACCTGAGAAATTAGGGCACTCCATCAGTCTATTAATCACTATTTTCAAGGGCCTACTATGTGCCAGGCAGTAAGTTATAAACCTCAGCTTCAAGAAGGCTAAGGGGGAAAGATAATTATAGGCTTCCTTCTAGCTCTGAAGTTCTGGGTATTGTCTTTTAATTCTGGCTTCACCACCAACCAGCCCGGTATCTTGGAGTGCGTTACTTAACTTCTCCAAGCCTCAATTTCCTCATTTGTCAATGAGGCTGATACTGATGATAAGACCTACTTCATAGAGTGTCTTGGGGATTGAATGACATAATGTATGTAGAGTATTTAGCACAGGGCCTAGCATTTAATAAATGCTTAATGTGAATAAATTTTACTTCTTCGAGTAATGAAAAAGAAGGCATTCACGGGCTCAGAATTTAGGTGCAGACATGAATCCAACACACATACAATCCACTTCTTTCATCACATGTTAAATTTGATCTTGAATTTTGGGCTTCATTAAATAAACATGCGAGTGTCTTTCAGGTTTCAGGCATAGTCCTGAGTGTTTGGCATGGAAGGATGAGTCAAGATCCTTTTCCCTTATGATCCAGCAGCCGAGACAAACATGCAAATAGCAACCTCTACTCCAGTTTGATAAAACAAATTCTGTGGAGGAGGGTGCAGAGGAGAGGGATTGACTTAGTCAAATTAGAGGGGTCAGTGGGAATGTCATACGAGTTGGGCCTTGAAAGCTGAGTCAAATTTTTCCAGAAAACAGATGGAGAAAAAGACATTTCAGGAAGAGAGAAGAGCTTAGGTAAAGGCCTGGAGATGGGTAAGTTCATGGCCTTATTTTGACTTTCTTTCTTGGGGCCGTTGATCCTTTTCCACTTGGGAAAGTTATGCTTACAGGCCCATAAGCAGCATCGTGCACGGAGCTGCCAGCTCACTCATTGCTGCTGCTGATGTAGGAGGTTTTTTTCTGTTCAGGTAGCAGTGGGTTTGATGGAACAGCTCTGGAAGCCGTAGGACATTTGGGCAATTGAGCACTGAAAAAGGAACAGTTGATTCTGTAGTGTCCAGCATAGACAGAGGTGAAGTCAACATGGGTTATACCTCTCATAGAGGAATAGCAGCGGGAGATTTAAGTATGTTTGTGTTTGCAGAGTAAAGATCTAATAATTTGCTCAGCATTAGGTCAAAGTTACCTGATTTTCCTGAGAATTTGCTCTCCCTAGCTGCTGTCGAACTACGTCACCCAAATGTGTCATTTATTCTACGGTACCAACTGAGACATAACAAATGAAATAATCAGGTTACAATTAATTTAAAAATACATTGTCTGAGAACTCTTCACGAATTTTCTTCTGGAATATTCAATTATGTGTAAAAGAAATTGCTTTACCTTTGTTTTAATAATAACCACTGGTAATTAAATTTCACAATCACCTAGATTGGCAGGAAGCTTTGATTACCTTTTTTATTTTAAATTGCAAAAAAGAAAAGTTCTTATCCTTAAGCTTCTAATTTAGCCTGTGGTACTTCGTTATATTCTGAAATAAACAACGGCCAGTTTGCAAAACCGTCTTCTTAATAATCGTGGGTTACGTTTGCTTTTATAATTGAAATAAGAACTTTTTGCATATTAGCAATATGATTGCCAAATGGATAATTTCACAGTCAAGAAAAAAATCAACCCAAGCAAGTCAATAAATAAAGAAGATATGAGATGTTCTCAGTAACTGAAAAAGGTAAAACATTAAATATTAAAGGAAGCCCGAGGATAAGAAGTTAAGATCTGGAAACATAAACACACTGTATTATCAAAATAAAATTGACACAGACTTTTAAAATTAAAATGCAAACAGAAAAAGGTAAAAAGTCAGTATTAGGTGCAGTCCTCAAAACCTTAATTGGGAAAAAAACATTCCTGAATGAATTGAGGTATTTATTTCTTTAGATTCTATACAACAGTAATGTGGGCCAGGTAAATCATGCTGTTTTCTGCTGTCACACTGGTGTTGATGTAGAAACGATAAATAGGAATTTTCATTACTCATTATTGGGGATTCATAACCAGTAACATAGGTAAGTCTTCCATATTCCTAGATGCAGACGGCAAAACTGAACTATAGTAATTCTGGCAAGACTTACGTATGTCTAACTAGAAATTCTCTGCATCCAATACTACAAAACAGGGTATTTTATTGAAACAGACATTCTCACTGGGAAGTTTTCTTTTGGACTTTTGGATTTTTCAGAAATTTTCTTCTGGAATATTCAATTATGTGTAAAAAATTGCTTTGCATTTGTTTTAATGATAACTGCTCAATAATTAAATTTCACATCGCCTAGATTGGCAGAAAGACTTGATTGCCTTTTTTATTTTAAATCACACATGCACAAATTCCGATTTAAAATATGATCTCAAATAAAAAACTTGCAAAGCTAAAATTAACTCTGTGAGAGAAATTATTCACTCAGATGAGGAGTACTAGTCCTTGTTGTTTTTCTCCTGAGCATTCCACACCTCATTTTAACTTATTAGATTTTATTTTCCATTGTAGCAACTCAGATGAACGGAGTGATAGAGTCTGAGAGGTAAGGAGATTTTTCTTAGCATGCTACATATTTGCAGTGTTTGACAAGGGGGACCCAATGCTTTGTGAACTTGTGCTGAAACACCGGTTCTCCCCACTAACGCCATGAAGTGCACTGAGTGACCCTGTCATTTGCCTAACTTTTGGGGAATGTGAACACCAGGTATTTTCCATGGCCAGTCTGTGCAGGGTTTAGCTGGACAGTATGTTCTGAGAGCTGC